AAGGTTCAAGACTGTTACGTCTTGCCAAAGGAAGCCGTGGCCAAACAGCATAAGTTGGTGGTCTGCAAAGTAAAGATGAAACAACATAGACAAATGAAGCAGACTGGCACAAGGAAAACACGCTGGTGGAAGTTGAACGAGGAGGAACACCTGGATAAATTTATGCAGAATGGAGACAGAACTGGGAGAGAAGGAGGAGAAAACATGGGGTGATTTGAGCACTGTAGTACGGGAAACTGCAGAAGAGATACTATGACGTATTTCTGGTAAGAAAGGGAAGAAGGAAGAGACATGGTGGTGGTGCACTGAAGTACAAGAAGCAGTAAAGGAGAAGGAGAGAAAAAGGGAAAGAGATCTAAATAGATGTGAGGAGACTATCACAGCCTATAAAATTGCAAATAAGAAAGCGAAGAAGGAAGTGGCGAAAGCCAAATGTAAAGCATATGAAGATTTGTACAACAGAAGGAGAAGGACAAAGGAAAGCTATAAGGATAGCGAAGCAGAAGAATAGAGACTCACAGGATGTGTACCAGGCAAAAAGAGTGAAGAATGAAGATGGTCAGGTACTGACAGATGACACGCAGATACGAGAGAGGTGGAAAGAATACTACCATCAACTGATGAATGTAGAGAACCCAAGGGAAGAAAGAGAGATAGAAGCGGCAGAGGAAAGAGAGGTGGAGGATGTGAGAACGGAGGAAGTAGTAACAGCTATGAAACAAATGAAGAGAGGGAAAGCAGTGGGACCAGATGACATACCAGTGGAAGCATGGAAGGTCATGGGGCAAACAGCAGTTGAGTGGCTGACAGAAGTGTTCAAAATCATCATGGAGACAAAGCAGATGCCAGACGAATGGAGAGCAAGTACACTAATACCAATTTCCTAGAACAAGGGAGATATCCAGGACTATAGCAACTATCGAAGCATCAAACTTACCTCACATACACTGAAAATGTGGGAGAGGATTATAGATAAAAGACTACGAAACAGGGTGACAATATCAGATCAACAGTTTGGCTTCATGCCCAACAGAAGCACAACGGATGCAATCTTTGCATTGCGGCAAGTTATGGAAAAGTACAGACAAGGTCAAGAAGAACTACATTGCATATTCATCGACCTGGAGAAGGCCTACGACAGAGTTCCAAGGCAGGAGGTGTGGAACTGTCTGCGTCTGAAAGAGGTGCAGGAGAAATACATCAGATTAGTGCAAGGCATGTATACAGGCAGTAGGACACGTGTAAGATATGCAGCTGGTGATACTGAGGAATTCGAGGTTACAGTGGGGCTCCACCAGGGCTCGGCTCTTAGCCCCTTCCTGTTTGCAGCAATAATTGACTGCCTGACTGCCCCAGTACAGAGAGAAACTCCATGGGACATGCTATTTGCTGATTATGTGGTGGTTTGTGCAGAAACGAAGGGAGACGTAGAACAGAGGTTGGAACTGTGGAGAGAAGCTATGGAAGTGAGAGGTATAACAGTGAGCAGACAGAAAACTGAATACCTGAAACTGAGAACGGGAAATGAAGATGCAGACGAGGTTGTAGAAATGCAAGGAGAGATAGTGAAACAGGTAGAGGAGTTTAAATACCTTGGGTCTACTGTACAAGCGGATCTGAGAGAGAAGTGACAAAGAGAATAAAAGCAGGCTGGGGAGCTTGGGAGAAGGTCACAGGAATAATGTGTGACAGGAAAGTTTCGAGCACTGTAAAAGGGAAACTCTACAAGACCATGGAAGGCCCGCAATGTTATATGGCATGGAAGCAGTAGCTCTCACAAAAGGGCAAGAAAATAACATCATCGTCATCATCACTAATTCTAATATTATATCATTATCATTACTATTTGTATTATTATCATTATTATTACCATCATTATTATTATTAGAATTACTATCATCATCATCATCATCATTATCATTTTAATCATCATAATTTCTATTACTATAACTATTATTATTATCGTTATTGTTATAACTACTATCATTATCATTATTGTTCATGTCATAATTTATAAATGGAAAAATATAATTTCCTCTACAAATGACTTCATCTTCATCAATAAAGAAATAGTTTTTTTTTTTTTTTTTTTTTTTTTTTGCTAAGATGAAAAGGAAATTAAAACTTATGTAAATGTACTTTCCCTGACTTCTTGCATAAACAAATTAATCAAATGAAAGAAACAAAAACAAAACAGAGAAAAAAATGGAAATATAGTGATGTACAAAAAAAGTTGACAACGAAGCTTCAACTTGTAACGAACTTATTTAAGTGCCTCTGGAAGTACAGGTGTTAAAAAAAAAAAAAAAAAAAAAAAAGGTGTCTACCCACACGCCGGGCTGAAATAAAATAGGGAACGGTATAAAACAAGGAACAGAGAAAACAAATATGTACAGTAATACCACAAAATAAGAATGGAATAGGAAATAACCAAATAAATACGAGTAAACAAGTCCAATTGAAATCTCAGGGGACGGTCAGACTTTTATTTTGAAAGAGCTTTGTCCTTCGCTAATTACTTACCTCCCTTTTGAAAGCAAGCTCCCTGATGTAACATTAATCACCAGGTACTTCCGGGGAAATTAATTTTTATTTTGTGCCTTGTTCCCTTGCCATTCAGAAATGTCTGGTCTTTTTTCTTATTTTCTATTTTTTGCTGCATCTCATTACCTGTCTCTTGTCCGGCATCTCAGCGAGTCTCCGTCTCCCCCAGTCCCTTGAGAATTTGGTACTGGGCTATTAAAAGCTTTAATGGGAGTCTGTAAAATAGAACTTTTCTTTCTTTCATATTTACATTCTTTGTTTATGCTATATAGTCGATTATGTAATGATTAAGGTTTCGACTATTTATATACAGTCGATTATGTAATGGTAAAGGTTTCGTTCCATTGGTATTCAGACTATTTAAAACTTAACTGTTATTGTGTAAGAGTACATACTGTTTTTAAACAACTCATTTCTATTAATGATTCATAAGTATTATTATTTTTTTATTATCTAGGCTTAGTGCTGTTGCCCAAGTTACTGGTGGGTTAATATGTTATCCTTCTAACTAACAATTATTAATCGACTTCCAGTTCGAATAAAATGCTTCATAAAGATGAGGTTTATAAAGATTCCCATGGATTTAATTATATATTCATTCCATTTGAAAAAAGACAATCAAAATAATGCATTTTCTTTCTTCTTCTCTTCTCTCTTCTCTCTCTGTCTCTGTCTCTGTCTCTCTCTCTCTCCCTCTCTCTCTCCTTCTCCTTCCTCTTCCCTCCCCCCCTCTCTCTCTCTCTTTCTCTCTCCCTCTCTCTCTTCCTCTCTCTCTCTCCCTCCCCCTCCCCTTCTCCCCCCCTCTTTCTCTATTTCTCACGGTAGGGAAAACTTGATTTAAGTAAATAACTAGCCTTATGAACCTTGATATATTAAGTGGCTTTTCAGCAAAGGTTAATCTTTAGGAAATCAATATAGTTTGCGTTCACTCCGACCAGATTAAATAAATCCAGCTTTAAGTAGTTTATATGCATTATTTTATATTATATCAATTTTGTATTGATTTATCTATTGAGATATTTATATTTATTTATTTATTTTTATTATTTGTTTATATCTGTTCATTTAGTTCATCTGTTATTTATTATCATAATTATCATTATCATAATGATCATTATCATTATCCTGATCATTATTATTATTATTATTATTGTTATTGTTATTATTATTATTATTGTCATTATTATTATCATTATCATTATTATCATTATTATTACTATTACTATTAGTATTAGTATTAACAATTTTTATTACTTTTTGGCGGGGAAACTGCCATCAAATCAAACTGCGACCATTTTATGGTTTTCAAGTATAATATTTATATGACGTCTGTCATATATTTTGACTTGTTAGAGACATTATTTATTGATATATTTCCTAACGTTTTAAATATTTTAACATTTCAGTCCCACATGGTATTCGCCGCTAATGACCTCAGCTCCAAATAATTATAATATAAGCAATTAAACAGTGGCACTGTCCTACCACAAATTAAAGTACACATGTAGTTTCACTAAACAATTTTGGAACATTCACCTCCCCTTTCGCAATACCTTATCCGGTCATTGATTTTTCTTTCTTTCTTTTTAATTATTATTGTCTTTATTATCATTATTATTATTATTATTATAAGTATTACTATCATTATTATTATTATTATTATTATCATTATTATTAATATCATCATTGTTGCTTTATGTTATTCGGTTTCTCAAAAAAAATTAAAATGTTTATGTACATACATATATATACAGGCATATATATATATATATATATATATATATATATATATATATATATATATATATATATATACACATACATATGTCGTTTTCTCCGGCTCGAGCCAACAGTCGGAACGCAGGCATTTTTACGACCGCCGCGACGGGGAATTGAACCCGGGAACACGAGGGTCGGAGTCCACACACACATATATATACCTATATATATGCATATATGAATAAATAAATATATATATACAAATATACATATACATATATATACAAATATATATATCTCTCTATATATATACATATATATACAAATATATATATTTATATGTATACATTTATATACATATATATACAAATATATATTTATATATATACATATAGACACGCACACACACACACACACACACATATATACATACATATATATATATATATATATATATATATATATATATATATATATATATATATATGTATATATATATATATATATATATATATATATATATATATATATGTATATATATATGTATATATATATATATATATATATATATATATATATATATATATATATATATAAATATATATATATACATATATATATATATATATATATATATATATATATATATATATATATATATATATATATATATATATATGTTTGTGTGTGTGTGTGTGTGTGTATGTATATCTATCTATCTATCTATCTATATATAT